CATACACACCTTGTAGCGATGTATGACGTACGTTCCTTGACTCGAAAAGCTCCAAGCCACGCTCTGGAGGGTAGTGGGTGCAGTCGGAGGCCAAGGACAACGTTAGGCTAAGCTTCAAATATGCATGTTCTAATGCATTGTTTTTAGCACTCATCTGGGGCGTTGTTTCGCTGCAATAGCCCATTCTTTCCCCCCGTGTGTACTCCCTAAAACCCTAAAACCCTAAACCCCTCCACGAGGCGCTGGATGGGGACGATGGAGGGGTGGATGCTGTGCGCCAGTTTGAAGAAGTTCTCGGCATTGTTGCGGGATGGGACTTGTTCCGAGGTGATAAATTTGGACTATTGGTTACAGAGAGAAAATCGCGAGTCTGTGTCAAACACGTGGGGCGGTGATGTCCCTGTGCCGTGCCGAAAACAGTTGGAAACATTGTGACCGGTGCTTTGAGAGACCGTGTATCCTTACATACACCCCCTCCTATGCAGAAGATTTACAGCTCTCCCCGCTTCGTGCCGCCACGGTACTGAGAGGGAGTGTACCGGGCCTTACCGTCTAAGGCCATAGACAACAGAGGGTGGGGGGAAGCTTTACACGTGCAAGCAATGTGGTGACTACGATTTTGGATTCCAGTGAGTCGCGTGAGAAGCTGAGCCTCAATTGTGTGACACATGGTTTGTGCTGACCCAATTTGTGTGTATTGATGTACAGGTCAGCAGAGATCTTAAGGGCAGAGCAGCTTGTTCGGGGGTGCAGTTCACCATTTTGACAGATCGCCAACTCGTTGCTGGGTATTCATGACAGGCACCTGTATAGTTGCTGTGGCGCGCTCTGTAGCTGAGACACAACCCCTGAGTGGGCGGCTCGTTGAGCAGTGTGCATTGGAGGTCACAGGCAGGAGCTGTTTGCTGCAGGGCACTACAACCATGACTGGCAGCGACAACAGCAGCAACAACAGCAGCTGCGAAATGCCCTATGGCATAAACATGCCGGTTACCGACCGTTTGGGGCCCATTAACCCAACCGGCCGGTTGAATGGCGTTAACGGCCCGGTTGGGTTAACGGTCGGTTGGGTTAACGGCCAGTTGGGTTAACGATCAGCTGGGTTAACGGTCAGTTGGGTTAATGGGCCCCAACCGGTCGGTAACCGGCATGTTTATGCCATAGGGAGTATCCCAGTAGCATGGGAAGCAGCGTTCGCCAAAACAAAATAAAAGGCCTCTAACGCTGCAGGAAAATTTTAGTAGAAGATTTAGAACTATGTATGTATTTAGTTTTAGCGTTTGTTCCCGCTTTGAGGGCGTGAAATGCCGTGTCATTGTCCCTAATAGCCAGTTCACATGCTACGTTACGTTAAGACTTTTTGGGAAAAGTGGTCGGTTCGGACATGGTAACGGTACGTTACCGGTAAAGTGGACGAAAAGTCTAAAGTGACCGGGGGGGGTTGAATTTCGACCCCTCGTACCGTTAGCTGAATTGCATCGCCAATTTCGCGAGTTATAACAAACAGCCAAGCCCAATCGCTTATAAAGACCACATATTTGACAAATTGTGCGCGCTTTGCACTCCGACCGAATTTCTAGTCACACCGCTGCAGTTTATTTTGGAAAATGAACAAGGACAACGCCGCTCGTGTTGCTCGCCCGCGCACGACCGCTTACATAGCCAATATGTAACCCATTGTAGTATCAGGGCTGAAGCCATCCCCGAAATGGCAAGTCGGCCGCACTTCCGGCGGCATGGGCCGCGCCGCGTCGGCCCACACGCTCAAGCAATGCCATTGAGAATTGAACATATCCTCAAGGTTGTCAAAAATTTCATCCATAGCGGCCGCTAGGGCAAACGCCATCGCGGCTCGCGCGGGATGCAGTGCCATTGCAGTAGGCAGGGCTGCCAATAACCCGTCAATTATATATTGCGATTCTAAGGGGACGTGCGAA